TCTTGCAGCGACCTTCATGCCACCTCGCATTCTTCTCACTCTCGTCGTTCTCTCTCCTGCTGTCTCTTCCCCTGACTCATCGCTCTCCCCGGCCTCGTTCTGAGACGCCGCTGTCGTCTGCCGATCTCTTGCTCTCGCTGCTTCTCTCGCCTTTCTGCGTAACTCCGCTCTCCTCTCCGCGTATTTTGGTCCCTCGAGTTTATCGAGCATTCCTCGCGCAAGGACCACATTTCTGACTCCCACTGCGAGCATATCCCGCCCTGTCATGTCGTTGCTCAGGTCCACTCTCGTTTCGAGCACTTGTACCTCAATGGTCGGTGTTGGCACTGGGGTTCCCTTCGGGTATATTGTGACAGCTGACGGCGGGATTTCCACTTTTGTTTCGTCCTCCTCGGGGTCGTCTTCCCCGGCTTCCTTGCGTTCGGCGTGGCTTACCCTCCATGCCGTGAACAGGCGCTTTATCCACTCTATATTCTTCTCTCGTTCCTCTGCCCGTGCCTTGGTCTTGTCGTTGTTTCGCACCCATGTCTGTATGGCCATCGAGGCTGCCTTCCCCACTACCTCTTCCTTATTTCCAGCGCAGCTGCCGCTCAGTATGTGCGCCAACGACGCCTCTTTTGTGGCCTCATCCCTAGCCGCCTTGCACGCTCTGCATCCCCAGAACGCGCTTCTCGTGGCGGGGCCCCTCATTCCCCGCTTCTTTTCCCCCTCTAGAATACGCCTGTGGTGTGCCCCATGTGGCACCCCGACCTGTTGTCTCACCCTGGCCCCCAAGATCGTTTTGGTCGTCACATTGTGATCCCCGACGTCGTCAAATGTCGCCCGCCTGTCCTTCCCCCCGTTCTCGTCGGGCAATCTCATCTTATTGTCCCATCGATGTTTCAGGCTGGCTACAGCCACTTCGCTCCACAGCCGTCCCGCCACCCCTGCCGTGTGCGATCCCGGCCTCACCGTCTTTCGAAGTTGTTCGCACACCCACTCGTGTGCGCTCTGGCGCATGTGCCCGTATGTCCGTCGGTCCGATATCTCCCTCTTCTCCGGGTCTTCTGCCATCTCCTTTCTCACTGTGTACATGCACGGCCGAGTTCGCACCGCGTCCCGCACCACTTTCGAGGCGTCCTCCGCGTCGTTATTTCCGAGGTATGCTGTCGCCACCGCGTCGGCGTATGCGTTGCAGGCTATTCCCACGTGTGCTGGCACCCACATGAAGACCACCGCCTCTAGCTTCGATCTATAGTAAGCGATCGCCTCCAGCAGTCCGCCTCTCTCCCAGTCCCTCAGACCTTCTGGCATCCCTTTGCGGTGCGCATTCTCAATTTGCTGCAGCGCGGGTTTGCAGTCGCATAGCACTAAGCACCGCCGCGATTGCGCATCGCTCGCGCTCGCCATTTTGCGTAAGTATGCGAGTATCGCGTACATCTCCGCGTCTATCGGCTCCCACGTTCTCGCTTCAAGGAGGAACAGAGCGCGCGCCTCGATTTCTTTTCGCGCGCTGTAAAGAGGGCGCCCCTTTCCGCACCTTACTTCGCGCCGCCACTTCTTGGGACTTGAAGGCAGCCTCGATACACGGCGGCTGTTGCGGATGGTTCTCGGTGCGTGCGCGCACGCCCCTCTGCCTCGGGCGCGGTCTCGCGCTTGCGTGTGCAACCGGCCTACCGCGAGCGACGCACGTTTCCCGCCAACGCTCCTGTGCCACAGCACAACGCTCCTGTGGGAGGAGGCCGACCGCGGTCGCCGCTCACACCTCCCGCTGCGCGCTGCCGCCCGCGACAGGCATCCAGTGGGTTGCCGAGAAGGTTGGCAAGTGTGCAAAGATCGACGCGCGCAAGACGGCGACGAGCTACGGGCAGGGCCTGCTGGACCAGGGCTCCTCGCTCGCCGCGACAGCGAGACAGGAGTACACCAAGTCGGGCGTCGCGGCCGAGGCCCAAAAGGTGCCCACCCGCGTCATGAAGGGATTGGGCGGGGGAGGGAATGCAGCGGCACCGCCGCCGGGCGGGCCGCGAGAAGAGAGTCGACAGAGGGAGGGAGAGAGAGAGAGAGGGAGGTGGCATTCGCGGACGTTTCTGGGGACCTTGGCGGGCGGGCCGACGTGCGCTTCGCCGCGCGACCCGCAGGCGAAGGGGATGTTCAACTGCATCGACCAGTGCATGCCGGACTTGGACGATGCGGAGGCGCGCGCGCGCAGAGACGAGAGGAGAGGAGCGGAGGAGAGGAGCGGGGAGGAGGAGGGGAAG